TGAAATTTGTGATCTAAAATAAGCATAGATGTAAATATCATACATGGTTTAAGTTTTTCCTAATATGAAGTTTTGATTAACAGATTCTCAGTATTTATTGTTACTATTTCTGATGCTAACTTTTCTTCCTTTTTAACCATACGGTGAAAAAGCTCAGAGAAGAGTTGATGCGGGCATTGTTGGAGGTAACAAATATTGATGGTGACAATGGAATAGAGAGGAGCTCAACTTCATTACCATCCTCATTCAATGATCTTGTGAAGGACATGACTTCAAATGGACAAGACATCAAGGCTTTCGCTTTCAAAACTAAAGCTATGGTAACAAGCAACCCCTTTACTTCACTGTACTGTGCTTTTCATTTTATCATTCTTGCAGGGATCTTCACACAAATAGTTGACAGATTTACTGTTTATTTATTTTTAATTAGTATACAATAATTATACACAATCAATCATACACGTATTATACATTCGCCAGCTATTTAGGTTCTCTTATTTATGAGTTGCAGTCATATTATAAATTATCATATACCTAACTTGTCTTTTAGTTTCTACTATTATTTAGCTGAGAATAATTTTTTCAAATTTTATCACTTCCTCTTTGGTTTGAGAATCTTGAATTAGAAAAAGCACAACTAGGCCACTTAGTCACATGAATAATCAGACAGCTGGTCTGTGATGCTCCATCGCTCAAGCATTGGTGCGTGTTTCTGTTTTGGAATGCGTAATGGACCCACTTGTTGGTGCTCCGTGTAAAAGAAATTATTTTACCTACCTATAATAAGTGGGAATGTCAATCATATATTGCAAATGCTCAGTAGTTATAACTTTATAAGACAGCTATATTAAGCAATTAAATTATTTCTAACAGTAATGTAAAATTCTCAAATTACTAACAGGAGTAGATATTATCTTTCAAGCCACGAAAAGTAAGCAGAATATTATGAAAGAAGATTAACATTAGAATCTCTTAGTCATGACTAGGCAATACCTAAGGCGGTGTTTTAATGGTCAATGAAATGGGAGGAGAACCATGTGGTTTCAGGTTTAAATCCTAGTAAAGGCAAAAAATACTACTCTGAGTTCTTCCTATTGGCCTATGTTTTGATGGAATAGTTGAGGTGTGTGTAAGCTAGCAAAAACACCTTCATAAAATATTTTTATCGTTACGCAATGAAGACACTGCTTATTTTCTTTTATGTAGTGATTTGTTCTTTTACTATAGCTAGTTCTATTTGTCTAAAGAATTTTAAAAGTTGATTAGATTCTGCAACGAAAATATTTCACATAGATGAGAACTTCACTCATAGATACTGCTTTCCACCATCCTGGAAGGGGCATGTAACTTCACATAGATACTGCTTTCCATCTTCAATTAAAGCCAAATTTCAAGATTTCATTGCTTATGTAGATTCAGCTACATGTTACCACAGTAACTTAATTTAATCAAATTACATATATTTAAGGCCTGGTTACCCCGAGTATATATCTTGAAGCTGAATTTGAAATGAGAATTCCAAGGCTTTCTTTACCTGTGAAAGAATAGGAATCTTTCTAGAAGATTGCTGGTTGTTTGGACCCAAAACTGTCTGAGCCTGTTTTTTGTAATGGATTAAGTAATTGAACTAGAAATAGAGTCAATTTCTGATGGACAGATGGAGTCCGCACACTGATGCCTTGCAAGCGATATCCACTGATTAATAGGACTAATAGAGGAAATTAAAGAGACGAATTTGTCACAACCTGAAATCAAATTGCGTTTAGGCTCTTCTCTCTAATACCTTTTGAACGATTCCATTATTTTAAGATGTTAGAAAAACTCCATTCTGGTGCTGCAGTTGCAGTATCGAAACTTATTTCTAACAGCGTAATACCAAGGGAAAGCTGCACCATATGATCATCAGCCATAACATACCAACCTGAGGGAGGGTCTCCGAAATTCCCTGCATGGCATAGCCTCATGTGCCAACAGGGCATGTTTGTCAACAGTTAGATTGCATATTTTTGGTTTCAATATCAGGTGTACATTTCAAGAATTACTCTATACTGAACTTTAAAGTGACATTTTGGAAATAACAATAAGTTTATTAACTTTAAGTGTCATGACTTCTTTTTTTAACTCCTTGCAAATTTCTTGACTACAGAGTACCTCATGGTAATTAAAATGGACTAATGTTTTATTGTAGCTAACTTTTGAATTAAGTATATGTTTCTTTCCTTTGTTTAGATAATGAAAATGGAGCAAATGGTAGAATCAGCAAGGCAAAGTGAGTCTATTTTTTGGCACTTAGCTTCTCACGGTGTACCAAAGGGCATACATTGCCTATCCCTCAAGTTAGCTGAAGAATATGCTGAAAATGCTGCTGCACGTTCTCGCTTGCCTTCACCCCAATATGTATCCCACCTCATTGACCCTTCCTTCCATCATGTAGTTCTTTTAACGGACAATGTACTTGCTGCGTCTGTCGTAGTTTCCTCGACCATTAAAAGCTCAAGTATCCCAGAAAGATTGGCGTTTCATATAGTTACTGATAAGAAGACATACACTGCAATGCATGCATGGTTTGCTGTAAACTCTGTTAATTCTGCTGTTTTGGAAGTAAGAGGATTGCATCAGTATGATTGGCCTCATGAGGTGAATATCGGGATTAAGGAGATGATAGAGATTCATCGATTGATCTGTAGCCACAAGCTTGACAGCATGAAAATGGAAAATATTCCAAACAAGTATGAACATGAAAAAGATTTGCAGCATCTACGGCCTAGCTGTACATCCCTCTTGAATCATCTGCGCATCTATATCCCCGAGGTAATAACTTTATTTAACATTGTTTTCACTGACAAAAGGATGATCTTGAACATGACATTTAATGAATAATTGATTTTTTTATATAATTTCATGGGTTCACAGCTTTTCCCAAACCTGAACAAGATTGTATTTTTGGACGATGATACTGTAGTACAGCATGATTTATCGTCTCTGTGGGAACTTGATCTCAACGGGAAAGTTGTTGGTGCAGCTTTTGACTCGAGCTGTGGAGATGACTGTTGCCCTGGAAGAAAGTACAAGGATTACTTTAATTTTACGAGTCCTATTATATCATCTAAGTTGGATTATGATCGTTGCGGATGGCTTTATGGAATGAATATCTTTGATCTCCAGGCTTGGAGGAAGACGAACATCACTGCAACTTACCATCACTGGCTTAAACTTGTAAGTATAGTTCAACCAGAATTAGTTATAGATCAAAACTATAAACTGCATTGTTATTCGTTCTAAATGCCTATTTGTTACTTGATCTCATCAATAGTCGAGCAGTGCTTTATGCATAGCTGCTGCTGCAGAATATATCAAGTTGAGCATTCTTTCCTCTGATGCCCCAACATTTCAGTATTACACCCTAGCATGCTCCATTTTAGTCCCACAGAAATAAATGATTGATACGCTCAGGTTTGTCTCCACATAGATAACATCTAGAGCACAACTGGAATCCTCTTTTGTGGAATTCTGCATAATGTTTCAAATTGCGCATTTTGTGGCTATTATCATGTGAAATGACACGATAGTTAGCTTAAATCTTTTCAGACAGGTTTTCATGCTATTGGAAACATTTATCAATAAGGTGTTAGCTTTTCTTCTCAAACAAAAGAGGAACAATCGATCTAATGGAATTCTAGCGCTTTTTGTCGTTCTTATTCGTTTAAGCAGCTTCTTTAACAATATATATTCAGGATGTCCTGACATTGACCTCTCTTAATTCTATCTTACAGAACCTGAACTCTGGTTTTGAATTGTGGAATCCTGGAGCATTTCCACCTTCTCTAATTGCTTTTGAGGGTCATGTGCACCGGATTGATCCTTCATGGCACATTGCTGGTTTAGGTTATCGATCCATTATTAATGTCACACAATCTGTACTGGAAGATGGAGCAGTCGTACATTTCAGTGGACCAGCCAAGCCATGGCTTGAGATTGGGGCCCCTGAGATACGAAGCTTGTGGAGCCGCCATGTAAATATGTCAAATGAATTCATTAGGAAATGTGGAATCATGGAGTGAACAATTAAGGGGACAAAGTCTCACTCTCAACGTGAAATGTATCAGAATTTAGCCTCGATATATATTCTGAGTTGGAGGGAAGAAGGTACAGCCTTCAGTCTCCAATCAGACCACACAGTAGTCTCCCTGTATAGACGAGAAGCTAGCATGCCATATACTAAGACTAGATAATGTTTGACAACCTTCGAGATGCAATAGGTTTATATAGGTATAGGTATTGTAAAAGTATTTTTCCACGTACGTTTCCTTAACAATATATATAACAATTTCTTAGTTCTACTCTTTGAAAACTGTATTCTTCTCTATATTGAGGTCATATGTAGCTTAATTTCATCTATGATAGAAAGTTATCTTAAATAATGCCACCATGGGCAGATGATCGTCAACAACTCAAGACAGGAAATGTTTCTAACGAAGGTCATGTGAAATCTGATAGTGGCTATATATTCCTTGTCAATATCTTGTATGTTTATAGGAACTTATTCCGAAATTTCTACTAGTTCTTCTTGTAGGATGAACTAAATCAATGCTCTAAAGATTTGCAGAATACTGTTTTTTTTTTTTGTTTTGATTTGGGGGATGACATTCACTGACTTATATATCTGCTGTTTGTATAGCCTTCTAGTGAGTGAAACAACGCGTAACGAGACTTAGGAGCTGCAGAATAACCAAACAAACAGATCAAAGTTCCCTAAATATTTATCCAAGATATTTCATAAGTTCTTCAAGAATTTCTGAAGAATATTTCAAACATATGCAACTTAACTTATTCCTACTACTTTTATGAAGTAATAAACACACAGTGTAAAGTTTTCAAAAGCTTTAATAAGTATGTCAATTATTCTCATAAATGTTTCAACATCATTCTTATTTTCTAAACATTATATTCTTTGATATAAAGATAAATAAATTAACAAAATAGCTTGCTAAAGATTATTGTATAGTTCAATAGTTTTTTTATTTATAGAAGCCTGTAAAAGTATATAGAAGTAGTCATAATATAACAAACAAGATTTTTCATTCCTTAATTAACAGATTACTGAATAATATTGCTTGAAAATAAACAGTTTAAATCTCAGTGGCAATAATTATGATTATGATTTACAACACTATAGGTTAAAAATTGTAGTACACATTTCTGAAGATGAAGGAAGAGCTTTGACCCCAAATTTCAGAAAACCTGCTCCATGATTATCAGCTGCAGAGATAACACCAGCCAAGACAAAAAATGGGGAAATAATCAGTTAAAGATTATTGAAGTAATTAAGCACTACTAAAAATCAGTATTCAGTAGCTATTTCCACAAATATTTTGATTGAATCGGTGAGAAAATAAATAAAAAACACTAGTGTTTTCACAAGAAAAAAATTAGGAAGTTCCATAGTATTTCAGTGACAATCTGTTTCCCCACCATGTGTTTTCACAATGAACTGGTTTGGTGGGAAAATCATATTTTATAACACAAATTTTCGATTGATTCGCAATGAAAAAAGTCTTTATTTCTAGTAGTGAAGTTACTTGTATCTTGCATACAAGTGCTCAACTTCAACATTGTTTCTAAAGTAAAAGCTAAGAGGATGGTATGTTGTTGGCTAGCTAGCTATACATGAGAGATACAAGCTTCTCAATTTTTTGCAAACTTCATACAACTTTCCACCATAGCTAGAGGCGGATCTAGAATTTTATGCGAGTGACTTTGATCCAAAATCTATAGTCAAACGCTAGCTAAGGTAATGGATTTTGGATCACAATGTTCTAGATAAGATTCTTTATGTCTATTAAGTGAATTTTTTAACACAAATACGAAATTCACGCTCTTGTAATTGTGTTCTGGCAAACCCCCATCAGTTCATCTTCCCCTGACCATAGCCTTAGTTCTTCTAGATTAGACAAAGTTTCTTGTCTTTCTTTAAGATTTTGACAATCTCTTTAGTTACAACACATATAAATGAAGACAAAAAGTAAGAAAGTTTTGAGCCTTGGACACAAAACATTAAGACAATGGGTGGAGTGACTGAAAATATTTACAAGTAATCTTTTGTTGTTGCACCTCTATGACAAAAGAAGTTGCGCTCCGCCCGCCCATCGAGTCATCTATACTATTTCTAGAACACTCATCTATAAATTAGTTATTGGTATGAAAAACGTAAAAAGATGTAACCATTTATTGAAAATAGCAACTATAAAGATTTGACACCAAAAGTGGTTAGTGGTGACTATTGAACAATTTTTTTTGGCTTGAGTTAGGTTAAAAACACAGAATGAATCACCGTCTTCAAATAAAGTATTTTCTAGTGTAGCGCCATGAATGATGCATACTATGTTGTTTACTGGGTTCTCGACAAATCATTCAATACATTTTAGGTAAACTTTTAAACACAAATATATGATTTGAGCCAAAATTATTAGATTCTACCAAATCCTTGGGCAAAGTTGTAGCTTTGATCCTGGTTTTGGTAAGTAGACCAAAAGCAATTCTATATACCTAAAATGAAGTTCCAGGTTCTTTGGACTATCAAAGCTACAATGGGATTAGTTTATCCCAGCTGTGATATAACAAAGCCTCCACAAGGTAGGTGCAAATTCATAACTAATTGAAGTTTTAGAGTAAATAGTCAAAAACATATTTGAACTATCATTTTTTCGTGAGTTTCACATCCTAATCTGACTAAAAGGTAAAGATTCTTTTTTTTTTCTACCCTCTTTAGAGAGCTTCCACCCGTTTTGCTCTCTTGATAACTCAACTCGCAATCTTAAGATTAGAAATAAGGAGTGCTCAGTGCTCACACTTTAGAATTGAAAGTAAGTAATGTTTACCATCTGAACAACTCCCTCTTGTCTGGAGGTAAACGCTCACACCTCCCTCCATAACAAGTTTTTGTTTCATGGTATAAAATCTCAATCCACACTTAAAACCATAATAAGCATTAGTAAAATTTATCACTCATGTGAGTTTAACTAATGATTATAAATAAATTGCAAAATTATAGTTAAGAAGGAAGAGAAGCATACACAAGCTGGAGAGGAGTTTGGTCACCATCGTCGCGACGAGAGTAATGGGGATTTGGTTCCAGGAGATTTACAGGCAGGAAGTTATTGCGAGCATCTTCATAATTTGGCTGATGATGGTATTGATCAGATCCTCCTCCTCCTCCGCCGCCTCCAGGCATCAAGTTCATTTGCTCTTGTGCTCTCTCTACCTCTGCTATCTGCTACATATGTACATTTCAAGAATTAATTTTCAAGTTAAAACAAGAATTACCTAATTGATCAAGGAGGCGTTTGATCATGAAAAATTTTCATTCAGAGTTGAACTTTGGAAAAGCACGTTTCGTCATAGTTGAATTCCAAAATTTGAAGAACAACGAAAATATGTTTTCACTATTCACTCCAAATTACTCACATAAAGTAGAAAACAACCTTCATTTGAATTCATGGTCAAAAACCTTTTCCACTTCAAAGACAAAAATTTAGAAAAAAATTTCACAATGTAACATGGTCAAACGTCCATAATAGTTGAGTCCTATCACAAGGACTACATATATAAAAGCATAGAGAAAAGAATAGGACCTTTGCTCGTAGATACATGTTGGCGTTCTGCAGCTCAATCTCCTGCCAAATGATAAGATTAGTTCATGAAAATAAAATTTGAATAAGTTAATTAACGATCTATTTATTTATTAGCTCAATTTATCTTGACTCATTCAAATTACTCATCTAAACGTTAAGTTGATTTAAGTATGCCGTCTATATTCTCCATTCAATGGTGTGGTTTACTAGTCAATAAGGTAGATTTTGAGTTCATGATGTCTCACGTTTGAATACAGTCAAGGCAAAACTACTAGGCAACCTATTGCTAGTGAGAGGTAGCAGGTATCTTGTAAAATTAGTTAAGATGTGCGAAGCTGACCTGGTTATATATATATAAAAAAAAGTATGTAGTCTTTATGGACCCATTAGAAAACTTGTCAAAGTACGTAAATAAGGAAAACACATAAATTAGTAGTTTTACCCTCTTTTGCATGAGCTCTATTTCTGAGAAAAGCAATTCATTCTGGAAAATGAAAAAATAAATATGTCAGTTTTTTGCCTTGTAATAATAATAAAAAAATTGAAATTAGCCAACAAAAAGTTGAATTATTTACCTTCTTGGAACGGACTCTACCAATGGCCTTTTCAAGTTTCCCTTCCAAATTCTTGAGGTCCCTAGGGCTTAAACTGCCCAAAGCCTCTCCAACTATTTGCCTAAACAAAACGAAAAAAAATCATAATTAGTCATCATCATTAATTATTACTACTCCAACTTTTGTCACTATCAGAAAATCGCTAATTTTCAATGTTCCATTTTGTTAAATTCCAACAAAAAAATTCATTAATTATTAGCGATTTTCTGATAGTGCACAATGGTTTATATTAGAGAAATCTGATTTGGACTGACCTGTTATAAGTTTGTATATCTCGGATTTGTCGTCGCAGTTTGGATGCTTCTTGCTGGTAGTACTGAGGAATATATAAAAGTTGTGTCAATTTAATCATTTTTGTGATAATCATAAAATATCTAGTTCTCTGTACAATTGGTACTAAAACAAAATGTAAGTGTAACGGTCCAGACTTACTAGTAAAGTATTGTGTGTTTTCAGGTAAGGCTTTCGGACCTCACGATTTTGTCTAAGGTTTAAATGAAAAGGCATCTCAACAGTTGAGTTTAGCGAATACCCTTTTGAGTTCAACAATTAGTAATTATTTGTAGGTTGTAACACTCCCCTCCCCATCCTCCCTTTTAGAGACACAACGTCTTTGTTGAGGTTTGCCCCATCATAGTACCAAGGAAGGTACAAACTTTATTACCATTTTTAACATCCAAGCCCCCAACTTTCATGTTATTGTCTGTTTTGACTCAACCTATCAACCTCGGCCTTGGCCTCTCTCCCCATTAAGAAGGGAAGCCACGAGCCCATATCTTAAGTAGTTGATTCTACTACTTGAATCTTGAGCTAGCCTTACTCAACAAAACCGCGAGGTCAAAAATCCTTGAAGTGGTCTAGAGGATATCAGGCCAAAACGGACAATATATTGATAGTGCTAGGATATTTTTGTTTATACTTGTGCTTTGATGCACGAGAGGTGAAACCCTAGGCGGATGATTCCATTAAAAATTAAAAAAATTACATCGAAAAACATAGTGGTTTATATAAACAAGTTTACCTGAGTGTTAGCTTCAGAAACAGATCCAGTACTTGTGGAATCAGCATGGTGTTTCTTGTACCTATCAATAGTTGCCCTAACACTGCAAATACACACAAATCACAAAACAAATGATTTATTAGATCAAACAATAGCATACTTTTATTTATTTAATGCGACCAAATACATAGAAATTTCATTTGACTATAGATAGCAACACGACTCAAACTTAGGACTCTCTCTTTGATAGTACTATGTTTATTGAGAAAAAAAATGTATTAAATTCCTGAACTACATATGTCTTGTAAGACTAAACAACTAAACAAAATGTCTTTGTCAATCTTTTAGATGTAGACGACTAGAACAAAATGCATGTTTCAGGATGAAGTGATGTTTTCTTTGTATGATAAGTTAGGAAATGACTATTAACTAAGTTGCTCGGACTCTCCAAAATTGTTGCCTTATCTGTGTCGGATTCTCTAAAAATGCCCTACTTTTGGAGAATCTTACACATACCCGTCCACATTTTTGATGAATCCAAGCAACATAGACTATTACAATTACAAGTACTAACCTTTCAAAAAGTTTGGATAGCTTGAAACTGATTTTGACCTAGGTAAAAAGTAAAGGAGAAGTGATTTTTTAACTTTTTAATATTCGTTTAAAAGAATGTTAAATTTCCATATTTTTTAAAACTATGAAAATCAAAGAGTATTTTTGACGGTTGTACATTACTCTTAAAAAGTCAAAATCAAAAGTTAAATTCTTCACAGAAGTAGGGAGTAATTAGCTTTCTGCCTAAAGATTATACTCTCTTCGTTACATGTTTCATTTTATGTGGCATCATTTCTTATTAAGTCCGTCCCTAAAAAATATCACTTTACTAAATAGAAATAATTTAAATTTTAAAATTCTTCTTTTCACTCCTGACAAAATAATTTACAACCACACAAAGGTCGAAGATATATATTTAAACCACAAATTTCAAAAGAAAAACTTTTTTTTTCTTGAATATCATGTTAAGTCGAACGATGTCACATCAAATGAGACGGAGGAGGAGTTTTGGAAATTGTGATTTGTGAGTCTTCTTTTATCCTCTGGGTTAAAAGGATGAACAAGTAATCCTTCCTGCACTTACAGTAAGAGGAATTAAGGCAGCTGTAACCTTAATTTCGTCGAGCTAGTGATTGGTTGTTCCCTGCCACGTTGGCTCAAGATCCAACAACATGATTGGCTACAATGTTTCTTCATTTTACCCATTGAATAATACCCTAAGGAAAACCCTTTTATCCACCTCGAGATCTCTCCCCCAATTTTTTTTACCTTTTTGTAATATTCCGTCTTTATAATTTATTTGTCCGATTTTGACATGTCATGTGAAAAGTTAAAATTAAAGACTTGTCAAAAGAAGGAAAGAAACATTCTTTAAGAAACAAAAAAAAAAAAAAAAAGCAAAACAGACAAATTGAAACGGAAGAAGTATATAATAGTAACTGAGTTCAAAATATGATTTTGGATGAATTTTTTTTTATTAGATATATACAAGATTTGTGCAAGAGGTATTCGATTTTCATAAACCTGCTTATGCCCTAAATCCACCCTTATAATGACAGAGTCCGAAATTTATACAAAAATTATAATAATACCTAAAATCTAACCCTACCCTAAACTTCTTAAGGTAGGATTGGATCTACAGTACAAATTAGGTGTTTGATAGCATTAGCCTAAATCATGTATTTATGTTAACATAGGTACATAATCTATTTATTATCTACTAAATAAAATGTTACTATATTATTCTAAAATTCAAAACCCAGTAACTTAAAAATTCTAGATCTAGCTCCTTCCTAAAACATTCTTTGCCACTAAATTAGAATCTTCCTCGATGTCAAGAGATTCAATAATTTATGTATAGTTATAAGAAATTCTTTTTAATCTATTTATACAGTATAATTTTCGTCGAAGGAATTCAATTGATCCCACTCACCCACTGTGTGTGATTGCAGGCAGTCAGCAGCCATTCTTCCCCATGTAAGAAAGGAAAGTGCAGTGACTCCTTTTCTTTACCGTACCCCCTCTCTACTCAAATTCACCAACAAATGGTGAAAAAATAGAATACCAAAAATTAATCAAAGAGTTTTTAGTTTGACTAGGTCTTCATAAATATTGTAATTCCTTACGGCTACCACTTAATTTCTCGTATGATCACTCAATTAAAAATAATAATTATTTTTTAATTTATTTTATACTTTTAATGTCTCTTAAGAAACAATGATTACTATGAATTTGTTTCCACAATACTCATATTAATTGATATATGTATAGACTATTAGTCTTTAGTCTTGAGAAACAATTTTGAAGAATATTAAGTAACTAATATTGAGGATAAAATATGAAAATAAGAGTTATTTTTTCTTAGTAGGTTAAAAGTAAAACTCTATTTGTGGTACATATGACATATCTTTAATTTAAAACTATAAGATTTAAAATGTCTTTTACTTTCTTAAACTCCGTAGCAAGTTTCAATAAGACAAACCAATTGCAAGGGAGGAAGTATCACAAAAAAGTCACTTGATTATTTAAAGGACATTGGAATAAAAAGGAGAGGTGATTTTTAAGATAATAATTATTAATTTAATGACCATCTGAAAAATCAACTCTTCCTATTCTAATTAACTAGTAAAATTTATCCCACTAGATTAGGTAATAAGCATTAGATTCAAGTCAAAGTTGAGCTAGAACTCAAGAGATATGTAACTAAGAAGGAAATACCAAATACTTAAAAGAATTTTTATTTTAGTTTATGTGACACTATATCGTAATTGCGTGAAGTGTAGATTTCCAATTGAATTTTTTGACAAAATCCGTTGAAAGTTGGCTAGTTGGAAACCCCGATGAAAATTTGATATTTTTGAACCGTCGAAAAAAGAATATATGACAAAATATTGTGACGTGACCAAATATGCGTGTCTAACTCCCTATTATATGATGTCTTATGCTCATAATCACATGAAACCCTAACCCCTATATTTCAACCCCACATTTCAAGAAATTATAAAAAAAATATTTTAGAAATAAATAAATAATTTTTGACTACCATGAAATTGGAAGTTAAATAAATTCTATATCATGCCCTTTTAAATTTTAACTTTTGACTATGATTTGTTTTATTTACTGAGGTTGTAATTAATTATTTGTATTTATTTAATATTTTCTTCATCCCATTTTATATCGAGGAGTTACTGGTTGGAGAGTTAAACAATTTTTCTTTTAAATTTCTCAAACTAATTGTTAAATATTTTGAATATTTAATATGTTGATTTATATTTTGTATACTTTTTCAAATATATACTTTAATTCATAATAAAAAATAAATGTTTTAACTATTGTATTTTGAACCTCTTTACGTAAATTGAGCCAAAGGGGGATAATTTTTTAACAAATATATAAGGCTCAATTCAAATAAACTTATACCCTTTCTTTATAAAAATAAATAAATTATCATATGATGGAGAGACCTTTCGATATCACCAAAACAAAGAGAAGGGAAATATTTGCCCTTACTTCAATTACAAAGCAAGGAGGGATTAGCGGGGAGATACAATTTGCTCGTGGGTTCGGTAGAATTTAGTAATTTTTTACTTAAGCTTTTTTTTTGTGTTTAAAATTTTGGTTATATATATATTTAACAATTAGTTTAAAATTTTGGTTATATATTAATTTAAATACTTTCTAAAATATTTAAAATAAAATAAAATTAGAACCCATAAACATAAAATCCGATCTCTGTTATTGAAGGGCTATAATGGTAAAAACAAAGGCAGAATGAATTGCCTTTTTTTTATCTCTATCTAGAACTTCCACCCTTTTCATTTCCTTGGTGATTCAAACGAACTCACAATCTTAAGATTGAAAGTGAGGAGTGCTTATAATTCGAGCAACTCCCTCTAGTTAGTTTGAAATTGTCTTGCTTGTCAAAATAACCCTAATTCAATTTTGACGAGCTGAAAAAGGTCCCTTTTTTTCCGAAAATTTTAGTAACTCAATTGATTGAATACCTTAACTTTCACCTTATTAGTGAGAGTTCGATCCCCTCGCTCCACCCAAAAATAAAAAAGCAACTTGACTCTTTTGGTGTACCTGAAACCCTAATCTGTAATCTGATAGGCTATTGCTTCTGTGATCTCTGAAATGACATGTTATATTAAGGAAGTATCAATTGGAAGAGTTGATGGAAAACAAATCAGAACTTGACAGCTTACAGACAAACAGAAAAAATTGGGAAGAGAGAGAAAAAATTACTAGTAGCAAAGATGCCCAAAAAAATACAGAGATAGAGAGAAAAGGGGAATAAATTTTGTAAGCTTAAGATTTTCTCTATCTCTCTTAACCCTACTTGTAAATTTATCTTATAAAAATCTATATCTAGATAGTTCGACACACAAAATATTTTCGTTTACTCAAAATTTAGAAAGCATCGTACTCTAAAGAAGTCATCAATAACCGATTTCACGACTCAAACCAACAGATCTATTTGTAAAATCAAAGGAAAGTGTGGTGTTTTGAAGCTCATAAAAGAAAAGGAACAAAAAAATATAAAGAAAATTAAGGATTAGACAAGCAAATCTTTGTGATGGAAGAAACTCAATCTTTTAACTAAACACCATAGTCACCTTCTTATGTCAAAAAAAAAGAAAAAAATCACACAAAATATCTAGACTGACATAGATCAATCCATCTGAAAAAAAAAAATCCTCTCGCTACGAGCTCCCATCTTTTTAGGTCTCATAGTGACTTGAACCGATAATCTTAGAATTGAATTATGACTTGAACCGATAATCTTAGAATTGAAGACAGAGAGTGCTTACCATCTAAGCAATACTTTATTATCGATTTAAAAAAAAAAAACAAATCAAAAAACACACACACAAAAGGCAAAGATCTGTCACATTTCTTCTTCATTAGGTTTAAAAGCAGATCTTGTTGAAAAAATAAAATAAACAAACCTGTTATTGGCATATTCATAGAGACGGCCGCGGCTGGAAAATACAATAAGTGAAACTTCAGCATCACAAAGAACAGAAAGTTCATAAGCTTTTTTCAATAGCCCATTTCTACGTTTGCAGAACGTAACTTGTCGATTTGTCGTATTTTCGATCCTTTTAATCTCAATCTTCCCTCTTCCTCCTCCGCCTCCACCTCCTGCACCTGTTTTCCTCAACTGAGAAGACGACCCATCAACGAGTAATTCCTGATTATTAGGAAAAACCATCGTCTTCTATCTAAAAAGCTGAAAAAAGCAAAACAAATATCGCGATCTCGTTAGCTAAATTACACCCTCAATCAGGGAAATTATAGTCTAAAGAAAAAATTAATAATATTTTTGTGTATGTGTTTGTAGCATCCAAAAGAAGCAAAACAACAATTTCTTTCCGACTATTTTTCTTGTTACTTGATTTATTAAAAAAAAATGGTGATATAGCAAAGATAGGGTAAAGAAAATCTACCTAGAGATTTTTATTTTATTTTTTTCTCTTCAAATTTGTTCCTATTTTGTATAGGTTTGAACAGGAGAGCTTGCAGAAAATGGAAGTGAGTTGAACAAACAAAAGGGTAGTTATAGATAGGAAAAAATTGGACCGTCCAACTAAAATATACTACTTTTTGAGTGTATGTCTATACACTACTAAATTATTCTTCGTCTCAAATTAGTTATCGTGATATTATAAAGGATAACATATTTTAATATTTATCCTAATTAATGTTTCTTTAGAGACGTGTAAATGAGAATCAACAACAATATACCTGATTACTACTAGAAAATCATCATTTTTACACTAAATTTCTCATTGAAAAATATTTTGTGATTATTTTCATAGACATTTTAATTGAATCAGTGAGAAAAGAAATAATAGTAATCATTTCATATGGAATTATTAAGAAGTTTTTCACTATTTCAGTGAGAATCTAGTTTTTTCATCATGTATTTTCCAAGTAAAGCTAGTTTTGTGGGAAATATATAGAGTGGGAAATCATGTTCTATAGCACAAATTTCTCACTGATTTGTTGTAGAAAAATCTTTGATTTTAATTTTAGTTAGTGTAGTTTGTAGATCCACAGTCAAAGGATGAGGTTGCTCCTCCCTTAATCAGAGGTCTCAAATTTGAGCCCTCCCCTCCCCCTCCCCTCCGAAATGGTATGCATCGCGAATCCGAAACAATCGAGCTTCAATGTCAATACCGAACACTGAATGAAAAAAAAAAAAAAAATCTATAGATCCACAAGTGAAATTTGAACGTGTAAAAAAAAGGCACGACAAATTATTTGAGACAGAGAGTAATTTTTATTTTTTATTTTTTATGGAGGTGTAGGTAAGTGGTACTCAAGGGAAGTAGCAAAAAGAGGGTGTATAATTTTAGGTGTATAGTTTGATCAAACTCCATTTAATTATGCATTTTTTCTAAAAAGTATGGGGAAAAGGAACAATGAGAGCCTCTTTTGAAAAGTGACAACTTATGGAAATTGAGTAAGATTGTAGTAAGTGCAGTCAACCTTCAGTTTAAATAGCGTAGAGAAATACAAAACTAGCAAACCCCTTTTTATGTATAATTTTTTTTACTTTCAACTTTGCAGTCATTTTTGAGTTTTATTTTAAATCCTTTTTTTAAAAATGGAGTTAGGAGAAGGGATTACGAGATGAGAATTGAATTCTAATAAATAGCATGAAAGTTGAGGTGGTCAACCAACTAACCGACTAAAATTTCTCTATTTTTGAGTTACTCGATTCTAAATTAAGAATTTGTACATGTTAAATGAGCCTTTTCAAATAAACCATGTTTGAACTAAAGTTATTGTGCATGTTCTACCGATTGAACCCCCATCAGAGGCGTTGATCCAAAATTTAATGTTCTTTTGGGTTCACTATAAAAAATATTTTAATACACATATAAAGTATGAACACAAGCTATTTGGTTCACGTGAACACGTAGTTAAGACATTGAATCCACCACTGACCCCCACCTTCTACTCTACCTCCGTCGTTGATCTCCAGGTGAGAGACTATTAACTATTGCTCAGACTTTTCAAAATTGCGACAGAATGCATATTTGAATCCTCCAATAGTACTAATGCATTATTAGAGGATTTGACACTTGTATCCCATATTTTATTTTAGAAAGTTTGAGCGAGATAGGCATAAGATGATCAAACGAGATCTCTCCCTACTCTTTATTAGCGGTCCTGTGAGACAAACCTTTCGGTAATTGAATATTCTACTCAATTCTGATTAATCAAATACAGTTGATTTCAAATATCAGATGGTCAAATCGAGAAAGAAAGAAAAAAAGTCTCCCCATACCTAAAAGTACTTCTCTCTCTTAAATTATTAGATTTTTTTTCCTTCCATGATCTCTTGAAGTTGTGATTCACAGGAACAAGACTCCCATGTGATGTCCTATTCACCATCACCCATTACTCAATTCTTTTATGGTAAAGGGTAGGGGAAACCTCATGATACACTTTGCTATATTTGGTTACCATCTATCACTCTAGGGCCATATGTTGTGTGAGACTTTTTCTTCTTGTGTAGCCAAAATTTACTCCCCACTAACTACATTGCATTATCAAATTCCAATTAAAATACTAGACAATTTTAATTAAAAAATTAAAATTAAAATCCCTCCTTGTAGTGGGGGTTTAATTAGGTTGTGACTTGTGTCCCCTACCTGTAACTAGTACGAAATTATTTTGTTTAGGGTTTACTTAGTTAGAAGAAAAAGTTACACTAGCTAGCTAAGTGAGCCCTTTTCACAAGGTAGAAAATTTATTTGCATCCGATATTTATAATAAATCAATATAATTGATAAAAGATAGTATTTGTATATGGACTTTTCTCACCTAATTTTTGGTTAAAAATGCATGTTCTTTTGTTTTATTATATCACTTAACTATAGTAAGTTAATATAATCAGTGTAAACATCGAGTATATATAAGAATTTGCTTCTTGTCAAAAACTATTTCCTCTCTGTATTAAAAATCACACTTTTTTCTGAGGAATTAAGATTTCTTGGGCAACTACAAAATAAATAGAAGAAAAATGGCCTTTTTTATATGTATAAATGAAGATTTCTAGTAAAAATGTTATAATTTTATATATTTTTTTTGTAAAAAGCCTACAAAACAACTATTTTATTTTTACTATGTCTAATTGGTAGCTCCTTTTATTGCTACCAATTTTGGATTCAGTAAACTGAAGGAAGTTTGTGTAACATCTCTAATTAGACAAACTTGGAGCATATATATATATATATATATATTTTAGTCTAAGATTTAACTTATAAGAAGCAAAATATGTGGTATAAGAAATTAGGGTTACATGTTTTCAGGTAGATGGTGGCATTAAATTATTTGGGTTACATTTATTCCAGTGGATACCTATCTATGTCAAGGTCACTTTCTCTAATTAAAGGACACACACACATCGACCAACTTCAGGTATACTCTATTTGTAAGTAGTATGATTGAACTCCAATTTCCGAGCCATCAAAACGTATCAGATAACTCTATCAATCAAGTTATGACAGATCGAAAGAATCATCCAATGTTTTTTTGTCTCTGTTGAGTTTTGAACCGAAGACCTTGGGGTTCTTAGTCACTTCATTGACTAATAGGCCACACTCTTGAGTGCGGATGGTTCAAATCTCTTCTTTCTTAATTAAAGATTTTGAGTTTAAGCTTCTATAAATGAAACAAATTTATTGGGACCACAATACGTAAATCCAAATATAACAAATTAAAATATAAATATCGACTACCAGATTAGAAAAAAAATATTGAACTACCAACTACATCAATCCTACTATGTATTTTTTTCTCTCTTTATTTTATAAGAATAACGAAAGGCCTTAATTATTTAATTTCATAATAATTAAAGGACAATCGAAACAATGGTGAAAAAAAGAAGCATAGTCATACCTATTTAATTTCGCATACTTAAAGCATATTTGCTCTTTTTCACGTATATATTTGTTCTAAACTATTAACCACGGATATATAAACTTAATTTCACATAATTTAAAAGTATATTTTACATTTTCTTATGAAAATAATAGTCCATAGTATAAAGTCCTGAATATATAAAGAAAATTGGAGTAGTTTAAATAAAAAATTTAATAGGAAATAGGCCACTTAGTTTCAGAGTTAACTAAAATGAACAAATCATCCAAGCTCCCACAATTTTCTCCAACATTAATGGCCCACCTCAAATGGTTGTTTGATGAGTGGGCCCTTTTTTGGAAATCGTCGAACGTTTAAAGAGGTGTCATTAAATTATTATTGTTGTTGTTATTGTTAAATCGTGCAACCTCAAACAAGACTAGAGAAAAGAAGAAAAATGAAACTATAATTATATAATATAATAAATGAGACTAGATAACAAAAGATAAGAAAACAAAACTTTGGAAAGTTAGCTCGTCAAGATTTAAAGCCCTATAAAAAGATCATTCCGTCTCTAAAAAGTCGACGGAGAGCTTAACAATGTTCACCAAAATTTGACAATTGAAGCGTAAATAAATATGATATGATCTATGCATAGTTACCTGCATCAGGTAAATCAAAATTGAGATGGACCGACTCTAATATCATAACAAGAAACCGTTTTTAAAAAAAATGGTTAATTACTCAATTGTACAAGTTGACTTGTATATATGTGAAATTTTAGTAGGTTTGTAATTGATTTTTTGGATATACACATGACGATCTCCACAACAAAACTATGAAAGCAAACGGTCGAGTTAAATAAATTATTAAAACTGTTTGTTTTATTTTATTATGATTATACATTATGATATATTTTAATAAAATTTCTCATAGAATAATTTGAACTCCATATTAGCCTAACTTTTAGATGAGATGAAATGAGTTGAGCTAAAATAAGCTTAACTAATAAATGAAATAATTAAATTGCACTAATCATATTTTTAAGGACTAATTTTACCATTCTTAAATATTATATTATCCTAAGTCATGTAAGAATGATTTTCCATAAAATTAATCGATAAACATTAAGTGCTAAAAATATAGCTATAGAATGGACAGTGCATAATTAATTAAAAACGAGTTATTTTTAATCAATTAACTCAAACAGACTCTTAATGAAATCAATTATAGTATTATTTGTTTTAACCAAGTTAATAGATTAACAAACAATTTTTTTTCTTCCCTTCACTTCTCCTCGATTGCAACAAAATCATTGTGTAACTTGAATCTGAACAAACTTTTTTTTTGGGTACACCGAAAATGA